TGAAATTCCTCAGTGTCCCTTGAGTTTGTAACTTTTTGTGGAGGAGACATATTCCTAGAAAATGGGCATTCAACCGATTGTGTTAAAATCTGTGGCATTAGTTACTATCAGTCATGTCTGTAACTCCCAAGGGAATAAGGAGTGTCCTTGGAAGGTCTTGTAATGTGGTGATTTTTATTTATATTTTGGGTGTCTGTGAAGTAAGATGGTCCCAAAGTTCTTTACCCTGAATGGACAATTTTTAGGTAATGGCCCAATAGTTTACAATATATGTAAGTTAGCATCATTTGTTGACCAGAGTATCCAGTCCTAAGACGACTACCTGATATTTGGCCAAGGTTTGGTTTTGTTTTGTTTTGTTTTTCCCCAGTCCTATTCTTACTCAGGAACATCCTAGCTTAGGGGTAGAAAGCAGCAACATTTCACTGAGCCCCACCATATATGATGGCTGGCAGTGCCTTTCATACATCTACAAACTCCCATTACTTTTTGCTCAGTTAATCCAAAGGTGCTCCCTGGATAGCCAAGGTGTCTGGGAGAGAGGTGACCTTCTCCAACACCGTGGCATCTGGCAAGGGACTGAGGACAGAGAACACCTCCCTCCCCCCGGGGCAGGTGGACACCAGAGAGCTCAGAGAACTCAGGTTTAGCTTCCTCCTATCTTAAGGAGAACTTGGTAGCTGTGCTGAGCTTGTGGAGGCGCTGTTTTCATGACCCAAAGCAATGGGCAGCCAGGTCGGGAGGGTTGCAGGTTTGGGGTCTGTGAGGGGTCTCTTTTTTATCCAGCCATTATTTCCTCTTATTTCCTTGAATCATGCTGAGTTGATACTAGTTTTAGGTTGTTGTGATGAGTCTTGTAGAAAATTAGCATTCCTTTATAGACCATCTGCCCCAGGGGGTATTAGCAGAAGGCTAGTCTCTTCAGACACCTGGTAAGAGAGACTCAGGTTAACTTAGAATCCAGATTGTCAGTTTCTTTGTATCCAACGAGATGACCCCACTCCAGCATTCAGAATCCCCCTTTATGAACCAACACCCTTTCACATGAGAAACATTGTGAGATTGTGTATTCAACAGTCATTGTAACTCAGCAAGTTATAGATTTAATGCTTTGATTTTCAGCAATAGGAATCCTGCAGCTACAGAGTTTCTTTTAGGGCTATCATAGAATCTCTTTCTCATATGGAGACTTCAGCTGAGAGATAATGTTTTTGAGCTTACCATTTTCACTTTGTAAGCAATAATGTAAATTCGAATCCTTCCCAGACCAAACTCCTTGTAGTCACCATCACTGCCTTAATACTCATTGCAGCACCCACTTGGTCCCAGGCATGTACTGCAGTTGCCACTTCATCATAATCGACCCTAGGTAATGGATTCATTATGATGTCTATGCATACCATGGGTCATAAGCATCCCATTTCCTCTTGGCTAGGTGTTCAGCACTTCGTTCAAGCCCAAGGGCTTGGTCAAATCAATTCCCAAATCCCATCCATAGGGGTTTATCTACTAGGGCTACTGCCAGAACTAATCCATTATTAGTTAGGAATCAATCAGGAGAAAGAACCTCCACATTAAATTGAATTGGGAAAATTTAATAAAAGGATGTCTTAACTAAGACATTGGAGTATTGAAGAATTGCTAGTAAAAGTAAAGATGACCCTACGGGCGCCTGGGTGGCTCAGTTGGTTAAGCACTGCCTTCGGCTCAGGTCATGATCCTGGAGTCCCGGGATCGAGTCCCCCATCGGGCTCCCTGCTCAGCAGGGAGTCTGCTTCTCCCTCTGACCCTCTTCCCTCTCATGCTTTCTATCTCTCATTCTCTCTCTCTCTCAAATAAATAAATAAAATCTTTTAAAAAAAAGTAAAGATGACCCTAAAAACATTGGAATAACTCAAAAGATGCTTATTAAAAATTGTAACATGGGGGGGCACCTGGGTGGCTCAGTCGTTAAGCGTCTGCCTTCGGCTCAGGTCATGATCTGCGGGAAGCCTGCTTCTCCCTCTCCCACTCCCCTTGCTTGTGTTCCCTCTCTCACTGTGTCCCTCTCTGTCAAATAAAGAAAATCTTTAAAAAATAAAAATAAATAAATAAATAAATAAATAATAAAAATAAATAAAAAATAAAAATTGTAACACAGGGGCGCTTGGGCGGCTCAGTCGTTAAGCGTCTGCCTTCGGCTCAGGTCATGATCCGTGGGAAGCCTGCTTCTCCCTCTCCCACTCCCCCTGCTTGTGTTCCCTCTCTCGCTGTGTCTCTCTCTGTCAAATAAATAAATAAAATCTTTAAAAAAAAATGTAACACAGAATGGTAGAAACAAATTTGTGAACATCTAACTGAAGGACTATATATAAAAGAAATCATAGGGCATCTGCCTGGCTCAGATGGTTAAGCATCTGCCTTTGGCTCAGGTCATGATCTCAGGTCCTGGGATTGAGCCCCACGTTGGACTCCCAGCTCAGTGGGAAGTCTGCTTCTCCCTCTCTGTCTGCCTCTCCCCCTGCTTGTGCTGTCTCTCAAATGAATAAATACAAAATCTTTTTAAAAAATCATAGAAATCAATGAGAAAAATACAAAAAATAATACAGACAACATATTTGAGCAAAACCTACATTAAAGAACATTTTTAATGGTCATTAGGCCTAGAAAAGTTATAGAACACTAGTCATTATGAAATTATAAGTTAAAACTACAATGAGAAAGTCTACAAATCCACTAGGATGAAATTGATTAAAAAGAATCACAATGCCAAGATTAGACTCAGCTTGGGGACGCCTGGGTGGCTCAGTCAGTTAAGCAGCTGCCTTGGGCTCAGATCATGATCTCAGGGTCTTGGGATTGAGTCCCACATGGGGCTCTCTGCTCAGTGGGGAGCCTTCTTCTCCCTCTGCCTGCTTCTCCCCCTGCTCTCTCTCTCTCTGACAAATAAATAAATAAATAAATCTTTAAAAAAAAGATTGGACTCGTGCTCACTTTGGCAGCACATATACTAAAATTGGAACGATACAGAGAAGATTAGCATGGTCCCTGCGCAAGGATGGCACGCAAATTCGTGAAGCTTTCCCTATTTTTGAAAAAGAAAGAAACATTGGTGTTATGGAATGAATATTTGTGTTCCCTCAAATATTTTTATGGCTTTATTGAAATACAATTGACATATAAAATTAAAAGATACTTAAAATGTAAAAAAAAAAAAAGATTGGACTCAGCCTAACTCTCTCTCTCTCTCTTTTTTTTAGTAAACTCTAGGTCCAACATGGGGCTCAAACTCACAAACCAAAATCAAGAGCCACATGCTTTACTGAGTCATCCAGGAGCTCCAGCTTAACTCTTGTTTCTTCTCAGACTTAAGTGTGTCCTGTTAAAAATTATCTGATGTCTTACCTTTTTCACCCTCCACTGATATTTCTCCAGAGCTATTTCTACCACTATCTTTGAATAATTACATAATCATTATTAATAGCTCTCTGAATTTTGCATTTCACAATTTTTTTTCAGATATATCATCAATTCCTCATGCACAACAGTCCCAGCAATCACTTGAAGAAACAGTAATCCCTCCTCAGCAAGGAGATGAGACAATGGTGTTTAGATGACTCTTTTGTACATGCACTCTGCCTCAGAATGCTGTAGCCACTATCACAAAACAAAACAATGTAATAAGTTGTTCTCCATTTGACATAGATGTCAGATTTCTAAAGGATTTGAATAATCTTAAAATATGAAGAAATATTAAATGAATAAATAGTGTTGCTTTGTGATTTGGACATGATCACTGAATATACAGGCAGGAAAGAGGTCTCTTTGGGAACCAGATGCAGAGATAACTGCTTGTCCTCTTACTTCAGGGCGGCCTGAACATCACTGTTTCTTCCAAGTCATGGCCCTGAGAGACAGAGTTACAAAATCGACTAGCTTCTGACTACTTGCATTTGAAGAGCGAGAACGTGTTTATTACATTCTAGTTAAGAGTGGATGCATTTTGAGTCTGAAAGAGACTGTGTCTGGGGCGCCTAGGTGGCTCAGTCGTTAGGCGTCTGCCTTCGGCTCAGGTCATGATCCCAGGGTCCTGGGATCAAGCCCCACATCGGGCTCCCTGCTCCGCGGGAAGCCTGCTTCTCCCTCTCCCACTCCCCCTGCTTGTGTTCCCTCTCTCGCTGTGTCCCTCTCTGTCGAATAAATAAATAAAATCCTAAAAAAAAAATTAAGGAGACTGTGTCCATTTAAATTTGTAGCATTTGAGAACAATTGAAATAAGTATTTTTGGCTTAAGGGACAATTTTGAGCTTCATGGCATCTGAAATGTCTCTAACAAGGATCAGCTGCAGACAACAGTCTGCAGAAGGGGTAAACAGCTTCCTTTCCCTGAGGCTAGATTACTCTTATTTCTCAGACACTCGTGGCTCCACGAAACCTTGACTCACGGAGGTCAAGGACTCGGACTCTAACCGTCCGTGCGGCTGAGGAAACTACATTACCCAGATGGCAATGTGCCTAACGGTGGCGGCGTTGACCCAATGAAAGCCCAGGACAGGAGCATTTCCATGCGGACGCACCAGGTCGGGGCGGGACTTCCGGCGTCCTCCTCGTGGCGGTCATTTTGGCTTTTCTGGAGCCTGTTCACGCTGAGGTTTCGGAGCCCCCGGTTGCCGGCAGAAGCGTTCTCCCCCCTACAAAGAGACGGCTCTAAGGCTTGGAGGCGGCGCAGCCCGGGGTGACCCGCAGCAGGCTGGGATCAAGACCTCCCTGCCCCACAGCCCTGCTCCGCCCCCAGAGTCCGATGGCGGCGGCCGCGCCCAGGGAGCCGCCGCAGGTAAGCGCTCGTCCCCCGGGCCCTCCCCGCCGTCCCCCCACCCAGACCCCGGAGGCCCGAGCTGCTCGCGGCCCTGCGGCCCAGGCCCCGGCGTCGGACGGGGCGGTGGGCGGGGGCCCCGTGGGCGAGCGCCGGCGTGCCGGCGTGAGGAGCGGGCTCCGGGTTGGGACAAGCTCGTGCAAAGACTTAGAGGCGCGACTGAGCCGGGAGCGCTGGGGAAGCCCAGGGTCTTGTGTCTACGGGCAACGGAGTGTGAGGCGAAGTTGTGCCTCGGGAGTTTTGCCTCCATTCTCAGAACGGTGGGAGCCAGGGAGACTTGGGAGCGAAAGAGGGGCAGTGTCTGAAATCGGGTTCTCACACGTTTCCTGGAGCTGCTCGCAGGATGAACGGACGGGAAGAGGGGTGATAATAGGCACAGGGAAGTTGAGTTCTGTAAAGATCACCTAACTAGCGAGAGGACGGAAGCCCAGAAGTAACGCAGCCCGCTGTCGGCCACCGGATCCTGGGCTGGGCTGGGCGCTTAGCCCCTGAGATGTGGAAGCGGTCCCAGGCGTCGGTAACAGAACATGCCAAGGCTTGAGGGCTCAGGGGCCTGCAGGTGTCCTTTCTTTTTCGTGGGAACTGGGAGGAATGGGGCAGGAGTCAGGTCCGGACACCCTGGTGATGGCTGTTATGGGAGGTTTGGAGGAGTAAAGGCAGTTGGTCTGACCGAGCTCTTACCGGGCTCTCTGGGGCTGCAGCATGGAGAAGAGTACAAGTGTGAAGTTGGTAGGAAGAGAAGAGAGGAGGCTACTGCAATAGTCTGGGTGAGTGTGATGGTAGCCGGAGCAGGGTGGTGGCCATGGAGAAGTGGCTGGATTCTGCACTAGTGTTTTAGGTGTGGCTTCCAGGGTTTTCTCATTTTGAGGTAGAGAGAGGTGGGCGTCAGGGATGACTTGAAGGTTTGGCTTTAGCAATTGGGAGGATGGAAGCTCCATCAGTTGAGATGGGGAAGTTCATAGTAAGAGTAATTTTCATTGGAGATATCGGAAGATTTCTTTTTGGCCCATTAAGGGTAGGAGATGTTTCAGAGAACAGTTTGTGGGCCTCTGGAACTCTGAGGAGTTCAGGATGTAGACTTCTCCAAAAGGTAGTGGAGAGTGTTTGGACCAGGGCGGAGCTATGGATCACTTAATATGGGGAATCCTGGCCAGGAAGAAGAGGGTGGGTCTGAGGACTAGGTTTCCTGCTTGGCTCCCTGGTTGTGGGTTGTGGCTGTCCCAACACAGATCAGGGAGAGAAGTGATCATAGAGAAGGTAGGGGAGAATGTATGGTTTGGTATGTGGCCAGGGGCTCCAGGGGACATGTGGACATGAGATGGATGTGGGGGCACAGGAGTACTTCAAACAAGATGACGCTGAGGTGGGGGCTGGTGCTTATTCTCTGTTCTACAGACTCACCAGGATTTCATTGTATTCCATGGTGGGGCCTAAGTGTTCAGGTTAGGCTGGTGGATTAGCTTCGGGGCACAAGTGGTCATTTATGAGACTAATTGGGGGTAGGGTATAAGGCCATACAGGGCCACTGGAGCTGAGTTTTGAATGCGGGTTAGATGGAGAGAGGACGTCAAATGCATGTGGCACACAGGTGGAGGAGAGCCATGTGTATCTGAAATCTGGTATTTCAGAATATAAATATTCTTGGTAGTGAGGTTGAAGCAAGGAACAGGGAGGGAGGTCTTCATAGTAGCACCAAAGGCTGCCTCTTTTAGTGGAAACCATCAGTCTGGAGTAGTATTTGATCCTGTTTGAAACTGCCAGGCGTTTTCTGGGCCACATATGCCGAGTAACATGTAGAAAGGCCAAGGAGATGACTGTGGTGTAGGGTAGGAGGGGGCTGTAGCTGTGGGAGTGCAGTTGTGAGAGGTGTGGCAGAAAGAGTGAGTGTGAAAGCGTGACCACAGGACACTAAAATTGGGGTCATAAGGATGAAGGATAATGCCACATTTTTTTGCATCTTGGAGGGATGATCTGGGGACTTTGGTGGTATTGCCTGATAAGACCAGAGTCAGTTCATGCACACCCTCCCTATAGCTAGCTTCTCTCTCTAACCTGTGTGTGTGACACTGACTACACTGATAAGAGGCATCGTGACTACCATGCCAGGTCCATCATTCAGATATCCTCTATCTGCCCATCTGCTTGTTGTTGTTGTGGGAAGACACAGTATCAGTAGGAATATGAGGAGAGAGTGGCTCCAAGGACACCCAGGCCTGGTATCTCCTCTGAGTTGTGGAGTAGACTGAGCTGAGGATGGATGTGGAGGGTGGGGGTTATAATGAACTTGGACTCCTAGGAGAGATGTTGATCATAGAATGAACTGTCCACATTATGACAGGGTATGAATTTTGAGGACGTGGCCATTGACTTCTCCCAGGAGGAATGGGGGCTCCTTGATGAAACTCAGAGACTCCTGTACTGCGATGTGATGCTGGAGAACTTTGCACTTGTAGCATCGCTGGGTAAGATTGTCACATTGCTCCTTGTGTCCTGAGGTGACGTCCTGCCTTTCCTTTTTTCCCCAGAGTTCACTCTTTCTTTCCCACAACTGGACCACAGGCTCTCCTAATTTCCACCACTTTCTTGTTATGTGTGCTGTGGGTGCCAGTGCTGAGCTGTGTATAGTGCCCCGAGCAGTGGACTGCCCAAGCATCCCTGACACCTGTTAGCTCAAAAAGTACACGGGAGGGTCTGGGAGTGAGGAGTCTTGAAGTTAACTTAATGGATCCCACCTTGCCTTCTCCCTGGCAGGGTGACTGTGTCCAGATCCCTGGCTTCTAGTTTTGCCCCCTTCCTCTAGCTGACAGTTCTTTGTGACTGCCTGTGCCAGGTCATGGTCATTATTCACATGGACAGTGGGCTGTTCTTGTAAGACCCTCCTTTGATTGTATTTTACATTTTCTTTCCTGAATACTACTGCATGACAAGTTGCATGGGGCCAGCGGTGGCCACTCACTGTGCGTCTTTCATTAAGACTTGCGTCATTCAAGTTCTGAGGGGTCACACAGTGGAGAGTGCAGGGAAAACACTGGTTTTACAGGGTGGAAATGGCAAGATGGTCTCAGAGGAGGTCTGGCCCTTGTGAGCGGCAACTGGGGGAGGGCATGGCATCAGGGCCTTGTTCAGATCATACCAGGAACTTGCCATGGGTTCGGTAGTGTTTTGGTGCAGGTACCACCAGCCATGTATTGTTTCTACCTTTTCTTTTGCATACTTAACAGTTTGCTAATTTTCATTTCGTCTGAGACTTCTGGCTCCTTCCACTTTGGTGGCCTTCCCGGGCCACCAGTTCCTCTGCACTGCTCCCTTCACAATATCCTCCAACATTGACCTGCAAATGGTGTCATGAGGTGTGCACATATCCTTACACAGTCCTTGAACCAGCTACTCAGGTCCAGTTGAATTTTACTGGGACAGGCCACGACCAGCCTCCCGCACAGCATGCCTGTGTTGCCAGCAGATGAGGTCCTACTGAAGGAGGAGTGAGGAGGCAGGGACCTCGCCTCCATGTGGTGCACCCTATGCTTGTGTATTGTCTATTGAGGTCTCTCCTATTCTGGTCTCTTCGGAGGCCCAATACCACCAAGCAGCCCCTACCTCAACCTGCCCCTACCTGCTGTGTTCTCAGAACAATCATGGATGCAACTTGTTGTGTCAGACACATTTGAAATGGGGCTTCCCCCTCCCACCGAAGTCAATATGCATTTCTTCAGCATTTCTGCTTTCAGGCTTTAGGCATGGGATGGAAGATGAGGAGGCCCCTTCTGAGCAGACTATGTCTGTAGGAGAGTCCCAGCTCAGGGCTTTTCAGGCAGGTCTCTCCACACAGAAGATCCACCCCTGTGAGATGTATCCCAGCCTTGAAAGATATTTTGCACCATGCTGAGCACCAAACAATATACCCTTGGCAGAAACCATACTTGGGTGCCACATGTGTGAGATGCTTCTCTTTCCATGCAGACCTTCACCAGCAACAGAGGCATGGCAATCGGGAGAAGCCCTGGAAAAGAGATGTGGACAGGGCCTCGTGTGTGACAAGCTGCAACTTCTGTGTGTCAGGGCAGCCTTTCACATGTAGGAAGGTTGGAGAGGACTTCCCAGCGACCTCAGGACATCTTCAACTCCAGACCAGTCCCAACAGTGAGGAGCCACACCGTGGCAACCAGAGTGGAGAGGCCCTTCACAGCGGAAAAAGTCAGTACAACGGGGGTGAATGTGAAAAAGTTGCCAGCCACAACCATGCACTTGATCAACATCAGAATGTTTGCTCTGGAGAAGGGCTTTATGAGTGTAGCAAATGTGGGAAAGCCTTCAGCTCAAACTACAGCCTTGTGCAGCACCAACAGATTCACAGTGGACAAAGGCCATATGAGTGTGGTGAATGTGGGAAATTCTTGAGCCAAATCTCTGGCCTTATTAAAGACTGGAGAATTCACAGTGATAAAGAGCCTTATAGATGCAGAAATTGTGGACAGTTTCTTACCCATAACTTCAGTTTCATAGAACACTGGAGAATTCACACTAGAGAAAGAACTTACGAATGCAGTGAATGTGGAAAAGTCTTTATCCACAGATCTAAACTCATTCACCATCAGAGACTACACACTAGAGGAATGCATTATGGGTGTGGTGAATGTGGGAAATCGTTCAGCTACAAATCCAACCTCATCGAACACCGTAGAGTTCACACTAGAGAAAAGCCTTATGAGTGTAATGAATGTGGGAAATTCTTTAGACAAAGCTCTAGCCTTTTCCGACACCAGAGAGTTCACACTGGAGAAAGGCCATATAATTGCAGCGAATGTGGGAAATCCTTTAGACAAATTTTTAACCTCATTCGTCATGGGAGAATTCACACTGGAGAAGTGCCTTACAAGTGTAGTGAATGTGGGAAATCTTTTAGCTGCAAATCTGAACTCATTCAACACCAGAGAATTCACAGTGGAGAAAGGCCTTATGAGTGCAGTGAATGTGGGAAGTTCTTTAGACAGTTCTCTAACCTCATTCGACACCGGAGTGTTCATACTGGAGAAAGGCCTTATGAGTGCAGTGTTTGTGGGAAGTCCTTTAGCCGTAAATTTATCCTTATTCAACATGAGAGAGTTCACACTGGAGAAAGACCTTATGAATGCAGTGAATGTGGAAAATCCTTTACCCGAAAATCTGACCTCATTCAACACCAGAGGATTCATACTGGCACAAGACCTTATGAGTGCAGCGAATGTGAGAAATCTTTTAGGCAACGCTCTGGTCTTATTCAACACCGGAGAGTTCATTCTGGAGAAAAGCCGTATGAGTGTGGGGAGTGTGGGAAATCCTTTAGCCAAAGTGCTAGCCTTATTCAACACCAGAGAGTTCACACTGGAGAAAGGCCTTATGAATGCAGTGAATGTGGGAAAACCTTTAGCCAAAGTTCTAGCCTCATTCAACACCAGAGAGGTCACACTGGTGAAAGGCCTTATGAGTGCAATGAATGTGGGAAGCCCTTTACCCACAAATCTGACCTCATTCAACACCAGAGAGTTCACACTGGGGAAAGACCTTATGAATGCAGCGAATGTGGGAAATCTTTTAGCCGCAAATCTAACCTCCTTAGACACAGGAGAGTACACACTGGAGAAAACCCTTAAATGTGAGGAATGTTAAAATTCTGTGTATTATTGATGAGTAGCTTTCTATTCTGTCGATAATGACTTTATCCGTGCATCTGTTCTGGACCCACAGATTATTTCCAGGTTTGGGGTATTTACAAATAAAGCTGCTATGAATATTTACATTCACTTCTTTATGTGGATATATGTTTTATTTCTCTTGTTGTAATAACCGAAACTGTTAGAGTGGAAGTGAATCTTTCACATTTTAAGAAATGGGAAACTAAAACTAATGATGTAATATATGGTGATTAACATAACAATAAAAAAAGATTATTTATTGAAAAAAAAAGAAATGGGAAACTGTGATCTATAATGGTTATTCTCTCTTGGCTTCCCACCATCAGCACATGAAAAGTCAAGTTCCGTGACATCCTTGAAATAAGTGTAGTGGTAATAAACTGTGGTTTTAATTCCATTTCCCTAAGTGTTCATAATGTTGAGCATTTGTCATTTATTTGCTGTGTTTATCTTCTTTGATAAAATGTATGCTCATAATCTTTGCCTATTTTCTTTTTATGTACTTAAGTATTATATGGAAAAATTGAGTACTAGAAGATTTTTCTCCCTCAAATTTTTGTCCTCACAATTGAAAGCCCACATGCACCAGACTTACGCATTTAATCTGCATTAACATTTTCTTTGCTGTCTTAACTCAATAACACATTAAATCAAGCCTAGGTTTTAGTTTTTGGCAATCCCTGTTGATCTCATGGTAAATGTCAAATTGCTAAGGTGATGTCACTGAACATGGAGGTAGTGAGATATTCCAGTAGCACCTCATTAAATTCTATTCCCAAAGTACTGATACAGTAGCCACAGATAACTTTAAGAACAAAAGTAATAAAACCATAAAATGACCAGCAAGTGGCAAGTTTTAAGTATTTGTGGGTGTTTTTGTTTTGTTTTTGTTCTTGTTCTTATTTTGTTTTTTAAAGATTTATTTGAGAGAGAATGTGCACAAGCCGGGGGGGTCATGGAGGAAGGGCAGGAGGGAAAGTGAGGGGGGAAGCAGACTCCCTGCTAAGTACAGAACCCAACGGGCTCGATCCCACGATCCTGAGATCACGACCTGAACGGAAACCAGGTTTCCATGGAAACGGAACCAGGAAACCATGCTTAACTGACTGAGCCATTCAGGTGCCCCTAAATATTTGTTTTGTAAAAAGAGTTTGATTTAAATATGCTTGACTTAGGGGCGCCTGGGTGGCTCAGTCATTAAGCGTCTGCCTTTGGCTCAGGTCATGATCCCAGGGTCCTGGGATGGAGCCCCACATCGGGCTCCGTGCTCAGCAGGAAGCCTGCTTCTCCCTCTCCCACTCCCCCTGCTTGTGTTCCCTCTCTTCGCTGTGTCTCTGTCAAATAAGTAAATAGTAAATAAAGATACTTGACTTAAACTACACATATTTTAAATACATATTTTGATGTTTTCATACATGCTTGCATCCCAGAAGCTAAGTTCCTCCTGCCCTTTCATCTTTTTCAATATATAAAATTATATGAGATATTCTAGCTTTTGTAATGGCTATTTACATACATATCTGTGAATAAGACTGTTAAGAAGTCCCATTAACCCTATCACAATCTTCCATCATTATCATTTTCATGGTTGTTCTTCAATCCCCATGCGTACTACTGGGTGTCAATGCATAACCTCTTAAGAATTTCCAAAATGTCAGCACTCTAATAACTCTGATAACTTGAATGCACAAAAAATATTTTTAAATATAAATGTTAGTGCTAAATTTTATTGATGGAATTAGCTGCTGAAGGCCGATGGAATGCAATCATGATACCAATTGTATGGCTTTTATTACATGTGTCTTTTGAGTATTCACCTTACCTCTTTTGTTCACTGAAGAATTAGTTAAGGTGTTAATATTTTTATATAGTTTAATGTTTCTTCTGTAATTTGAAATCCTGAGTTGCCCTTGAATAATGCAGATGTCTATTTACAGTACTAACATATGTATCAACTATAGCTCCTGATACTTAACAGAATTAGGCTTCTCTACCTTCCATTTGTCAAATGAAACAATGTTTCAAAGTTACTTCTTCAGAAGTTTACAAATCCCAATTTCTCTGCATTTTAAAAATTTTTTAACTTTTTTTTTTTAAGATTTTATTTATTCACTTGACAGAGAGAGGGAACACAGCAGGGAGAGTGGGAGAGGGAGAAGCAGGCTTCCCGCTGAGCAAGGAGCCTGATGCGGGGCTTGATCCCAGGACCCTGGGATCATGACCTGAGCCAAAGGCAGACACTTAATGACTGAGCCACCCAGGCGCCCTCAAAATTTTTAAACTCAATACGAAGCTGAAATCCCCAAATCAAAAGTCTTCCCTGATCAGTGTATACATATATGAAATCATTACTTTATATTACAGTTTCATTTGCCAATTATACTTTAATACAGGTAAAGGAAAAATAAACGATTGAAATAATGCAGAAACTTTAATCTGAACTAACACTGAGAAACAGCAATGGAAGAGGAGCTTTTCATTCATCATACACAGCAAAAATACAGAATATGTTTATTAATTTATTTTCCTCTGAAGACAATACACTTTGGAGAAACAAAAGATTACTTGTAATGAGTTGCTTTGGAAGATGATCAATAAGTACCTTATCAAGGGTCAGATATTGCTACCAGGGACCATCTGGCACACATTAATCTTACCAGTTTTTTTTTTTTTTAAATTTTTTTTTTTTGACAGACATAGAGATATCGAGAGCAGGAACACAAGCAGCAGGAGTGGGAGAGGGAGAAGCAGGCCTCCCACTGAGCAGAGAGCCCGATGTGGGACTCGATCCCAGGACCCTGGAATCATGACCTGAGCCGAAGGCAGACACTTAACGACTGAGCCACCCAGGCGCCCCTTACCAGTTCTTTTAACTATAATCCAGCCCTTTTGGCTTTAATTTGCAGGATAGCCACTGTTTTTTCATAGTTATTTTCAGGACTATCAGAGAAAGTGGGCAGTCTATCTTGATGGATTGAAATATTTCCAGTGTTCTAATACATTAGCCTTCTGGATTTCCTGCTAACTCAGCTTCACCAGTCAATATATTTACTAAAGTTATACTGGTTGCTACTGAAATCCCACTCACAAAAAGGTAGAATTTCAGGGGCGCCTGGGTGGCTCAGTCATTAAGCGTCTGCCTTCGGCTCGGGTCATGATCCCAGGGTCCTGGGGTCGAGCCCCGCATTGGGCTCCCTGCTCGGGGGGAAGCCTGCTTCTCCCTCTCCCACTCCCCCTGCTTGTGTTCCCTCTCTCACTATATCTCTCTCTGTCAAATAAATAAATCTTAAAAAGAAATGTAGAATTTCATTACATTCAAAAAACAAGTATCCTAGAATCCAGAAGGTGTGATGATAAATAGCCTTTTCCCATGGTCTCCACTGTGTCACACAGGAGCTACAGTCTTGACAAAGCCACAGGTGAAGAACACCTGAAGCCCACTGCAATAAACTCATGGTTACTATGGGCAATAAGGAAGCCACTTACTCTTATTTACTGGATAAAGTTTATAAACATTTTGTCCATTAGTATTCTCCATATCCTCTATTTGGCTGATTGAATCTCTTGATTCTGTTTAATATGTTCACTTTTTTTAAAAAAGATTTTATTTATTTGAGAGAGAGAGTACACAAGAGGGGGTAGGGTCAGAGGGAGAAGCAGGCTTCCCACTGAGCAGGGAGCCCAATGCGGGACTCGATCCTGGAACTCCAGGATCATGACCGGAGCTGAAGGCAGTTGCTTAACCAAATGAGCCACCCAGGCACCCAATATGTTCACCTTTTAAAAATCTTTCCTGTATGCCTCATAGCTTTGGCACAAAATTTTTTTAAAAAGCTAAATCTGTGTACTATTGGGTATACACAGTTTGTAAGCCTACATCTATACAAATTATTACAAAATTTAAATTACTATAAATGCCGGAAGGGCAACTAGGTGAATATGATCAAGTATAAGAAGAACTAGTCTGAGGGTGAAGAAAACATTCCTTGGAATATATTTTTTTATGTCTGGAATGAATATTGTGCAGTAGTTTACTAAGTGTAGTACTGGGAAGAGTATTACAAAGAGAAAGTTCCTGTGAAGGGTGGTGCTTATTTAATGATCTAGAAGTAAGGTGATGATTCAGAATCACAGCTTACCAATTTTTTCTTGTAAAACAACTATGAGCCTGATTCTCTTTGGCAGTATAAAGAGTTCATCCCTTGTAAAGCATTAGAAAATTAGTAGTTAGCTTTCTTTTCTGCTATGTTAAGGCACTCCTTTTTTATGTTATACTATCAATAAGCAGACTTGTAGTAAGTTTTATTTTTCATTTCATCTTAAGCCTTAAATTTTCATTAACTTTCAAATCCTTTTCAGATTAGGCCTTTAGACTTATTCCAATAATGTTTTTGCATCTCTTGGTTCAGTCAAAGATGGAGAGATTGATTCCTCTTTTTGTGTGCAGAGGAGAATGAATGATTTAACAAATTTTTCTTTTTCTTTTTTGTCTTTATTTATTTGAGAGAGAGTGAGAGAGAGAGAGTGAGCACAAGCAGGGGGAGCAGCAGGCAGAGAGAGAGGGAGAAGCAGGCTCTCTGCTAAGCAGGGAGCCCAGTGCAGGGCTCGATCCCAGGACCCCGAGATCATGACCTGAGCCAAAGGCAGATGCTTAACCAACTGAACCACCGAGGCGCCCCAAATTTTTCTTTTCCAATGTGGGATTTGACAAGTCTTTTGGAAGTTCCACAGATTTTAACAAAACCAAGTTGAGTGTCCATTTTCCAGATATGTATCTCCTGCACAAAGGTATGTACTCAAGTGACACTTGAGAATTGTAGCCAGCTCAGAATTCTGCAGATGGAAGGAAAGCTAAGGAAAGGACATCTACAAATGATAAAGAGAGACAGAGTTGAAAAGGAAGTACTGGGGAGGAAGTTTTAAGCTTATAAAGTACCTAATGCCAGAGTTCCTAC